ATTGTGGTGAAATACAGCATGATATTAGGCTGGCCTTTGAGCTCAGCACCAATCTTGGCGCTCCTTACTCGTATGATTGAGGTGCTGAGAGCCTGAATCTAAAGCACATAAATTCAGTAGAACTCATCGTACTTGTTGAGACCTTGAATTAACGCTCGAAATAGTCGTCATGCAACTTTCGCCCGCATAACATCTGACTCAATATGTTGGTACCTGTATCTCAAAAACCGAGGGACAAGAGGTATTGGAAGGTACTGTATTGTATGTCAAGGTAATCCAGCCACCGAACCACGTGGAAACACAATCATGTATGTAGCCAATCGTCAAATTGTATTAACCCCACATTGTTCGATAACCCCTAGTTCAATGTTCTACAATACTAGCTCAATACAGAAAATGAACCTAAGGATGCTGTATGTTTTGAGCTGTACGAATCTCAAAAGGTACGGCGTACCTGAATCTAATCTACCTATCCTGCATTGCTGTTTTTCTAGAAGCCGTCAGGTAATCCGTACTTGGAAGGTATTTCCGAAAAATATGCTCAAATAATAATCAAAGCCACATCACCTCATGAATCCTCGAAACAATGAGAGCGACCGACCACAGTTCAGTGGTCGGTAACCAGCCAGAACCTCTCTCGAGTGGCAGGGTGTCTAGAAATAATTACAATTCCAACCAGGGGCCGAGTTCTACGCAGATGCTGGCCCATTAGTCTAACGCCGCAGTGACATGGGACCTGGGGAAGGACTGATAGTTGAGGACGAATAAAATTGCTGGCTTGCATTTGGATATCTGGGCCATGTGCCACCCCTCGCGTGGGGTTAAAATCCACAACCAATCATAGTACACTTAGTGTGGGGGCCTAAACCTCACCATGTTCTGTACTCGGATTTACTGGTTCAGAGAAGATCTTGGTATGCATCTCAAGACTGGGCTTGAACTTGGTCAGTATTCAGCCAGGTACAGAGTAGTTACAGAAGTAATAATGCTAAATTCAACGGTAAGTACAGAGCAGGCCGTCAGGATGATGCCATATGATCGTTTATTTACCATCTTTTCTAAGTGATTGTGCGACCGGCTGACCTTACAGCAGATAATTAATGCGCGTGGTGTACTTCTCAGGCAATATCAGCAATGCAACCTGAACATTGATAATCATGAGCAGAAATCTGTCAAGGACTTTGATATGTCAAGATTCAGGATATGTAGATCGACGATCATATGGAGTACATCTACCCCACTTCCTTATTTGAAGCTCGATTTATGGAAAGTATGGGGTAGTCTGCCGGGCTCAAACCATCGAACCATGATTGACTCAGATCTCGAGTGCTGACATAGGTCGTGGAATTCAACTACCTGTGATGCCTTTGCTTTTGTCGTTCCATGATAGTCGGGATTCACCCCAATGGTCTGGCAGAGAGGGCTTCAATGCGTACTATGCCTCCCAGTATGTACACCGAGGGTAAATGCAGGTTATCAAAAGAACTCCAGGGGCGAAGTAACTGGACTAGATTGGGTGGATAAGCAGCCAGGAGTTTGAGTAGAGACAGTTAATAAATCATCCTTGCGCTGGTTCATCACTGCACAGTGTACATTGCGTTGGTTGATCTTGAGTAGTGGGTTCGGCTTGGTGAAACCCAGTTCCTTTGCTCTCCATCGCGGACTTTCTCTATATCTCCAGGTGGTCAAGACATTGATAGCATATCCTCTTGGCTTCTTGGTTTGATACTGCTGCCTTATTTAACCCCAATCACTAGTAGGAGTCATATACTCCGTTCATAGATTGAAACTTGAATCATAGATGAAAGAGTGGCACGTGACTTGCCCTAAGCGGAAGCCCTGAATCCCTGTTTGAGAGTCGGACACGGAGAAACTTGCCCTTTCAAGCAACTCTCCAGAAAAATGGAAGTAGGAACTGAGTCAGAAGCAACATCAGATCATCAGATTGGCCAGAAAAACATAGAAACTCATTAATTTATTGCCTACCAGCCGAATCTGCTTCACCGCTCAAGACTCTTGGATGAAGCTCACCTTTCCATCCGGCTTTTTGCGCTCTGCACGACGAGCAATTGTTGATCCGGTTGTCGTTGTAACTCTCAGTCGGTCCCTTTCCAGCACAGCGGCCGTCCGCCCAACAACCCTCACTCTCTCCTCCAGCGACCCCACCATCCCCCACTACCGCCACTCTTCTTCCCTCACCCTCAGGTCTTCGCCCCCGGTAGACACCATGCCCAAGGATAACAAGAATTCCTTCAACCTCAAGACGCCCAAGGGCACGAAGGACTGGTCCGGGTCCGATGCACTCCTCCGCGATCGGATCTTCTCGACCATTGCCGATGTCTTCAAGCGTCACGGCGGCACGGCACTCGACACACCCGTCTTTGAGCTGCGTGAGATCCTCGCCGGAAAATATGGCGAGGATTCGAAGCTTATCTACGACCTTCAGGATCAGGGAGGCGAGATCTGCTCCCTTCGTTACGATCTGACCGTCCCCTTTGCCCGCTGGCTCGCCATGAACCCCGACGTGCGCAGCATCAAGCGCTACCACATTGCCAAGGTGTATCGCCGTGATCAGCCTGCTGTGAGCAAGGGTCGCATGCGCGAGTTCTACCAATGTGATTTTGATATCGCCGGTACCTTTGATCCCATGGTTCCCGATGCCGAGATTCTGCGGATCGTGACAGAAGTGTTTGAGGAACTCGGATGGCAGGGTCGTTATACTATCAAGGTCAACCACCGGAAGATCCTGGACGGTGTCTTCGAGGTCTGCGGTGTGCCGCCGGAGAAGATCCGTCCTATCTCCAGCGCTGTGGACAAGTTGGATAAAATGTCCTGGGCCGATGTGCGGAAGGAAATGGTCGAGGAGAAGGGACTGGATGGTGAGGTGGCCGACAAGATTGAGAAGTACGTGGCTGGGAAGGGCACTCGAGATCTGCTCGAGTCTCTATGGAAGGACGAGTCTCTGATCGCGAACGCCTCGGCCAAGGCTGGACTAGAGGAGATGGGATTGCTCATGGACTACCTTGAAGCCTTCGGATGTCTCGACAAGATTTCCTTTGACATGTCGCTGGCCCGAGGCCTGGACTACTACACCGGTGTCATTTACGAGGTTGTTACCGAAGGTTCTGCGCCTGCCATCTCGTCCTCAGCCCCCGAAGCACAGAAGCTCCAGAAGTCCGGAAAGAAGGACAAGTCCAAGACCGGGAACCTCGAAGATGACGACAGATCAAACGACCCCACACTGGGTGTTGGGAGTGTTGCTGCGGGTGGCCGCTACGACAATCTCGTTGGCATGTTCTTGCCCAAGGCTCAGATTCCTTGTGTTGGTGTCTCATTCGGGGTCGACCGTATCTTCTCCATCACCAAGGCCAGACTTGAGCGGGAAAAGAGCATCGATGCACTGCGCAGCAGCGAAGTCGATGTCTTTGTCATGGCCTTTGGTGGCAAGGGCTTCACCGGTATGCTCAAGGAACGTATGGATGTATGCCAGAAACTCTGGAACGCCGGAATCAAGGTAAGCCTCTTCGCGATTGTCGCTACACAATAAAAGCAGGAAGACAGCTGACTGTCCCCGTGTAGGCCGAATTCTCCTACAAGATCAAGCCCAAGCTCCCCCAACAATTCAAGGCCGCCGAACAAGGAGGCGTCCCCTTCGCCGTCATCCTGGGCGAGGACGAACTCGCCGCCGGCAAGGTTCGTGTTAAGGAAATGGGTCTCGAGGAAGGCCACCCCGAGAAGGAGGGTGTCCTGGTCGACCTGACCGCCCTCCCCGACGAAGTCAAGGCCAGACTGGCCAAGAAACAGAGCCAGACCTCAGCTGCGGCGGATATCTCGGGCGTCACACAACAGCTCGAGGCCGTCAAGGTTGAAGCTCCGAAGACCGAGGATGCGGGGGTTTAAGCGGGGACACGTCGCATATAGCAGGTTATTCATACAAAAAGGAACATGTAGAAAACGAGAACGCAGGACCGAGAAGTACCTGCGAGATTCCAAAATACCCACTTTAGATTGCAGTCGAATTTGGAGCATGACATGCAAAAGTTTATTACCATTCCATTTTTTTTTTTGTTCCGGTTACTCGGGGTTCCACCCTGATAGTGTACATTTGGGTTATCTTAAGCTCAGGGATCCCATCAAAATAAACGCTCGTATCTAACACACAGAGGAATAGCAATAGATAATAAAAGTGAGAGGTGTGATGACGTTGAGACCGAGGCAGTCCTCAGCCCTGCGCATTTTTCATCAAGAAACTCTTGACAAACGGTAAGCGATCAATGACATCCAGACCGAAACTCCGAGCCCACGTAACAGGTCCCTGGCCCGGAACATTATACAGCTTGTGCAGGACATCGCAAGTAGCGCCGATCTTGGCGTTAGTGGCGTATCGCTCTGCTGTGTACCGTTCCAGAGTCAGAATATCACCGACATCCATCCCGTGGTTGACGGCGTACTCGATCGTCTTGGAGAGGGAAGCCACATCTCCGATACCGAGGTTGAGACCCTGTCCGGCCAGGGGGTGGATGACGTGGGCCGCGTCGCCGACCAGAGCTACTCGGGGCGAGATGTAGGTTGACGCGTGGCGAAAGCGCAGCGGGAAGGAGGCTACGCTGCCTTCTTGAACTCCGTTGACCATAGGTGGGATGTGGGATGGCTGAGGGGTATGTTGCAGGCGCCAAGTGAGTTCGTCTTCGTGGGGGTTCTCAGCATCTGCGATCGAGGTTGCTGGGCGTTCCATGTTCATCATGTACTTGAGATCGGCCATGGAAAGACGGAAAGCAGCGTTCACCATGGCGATGAAAGCTCTAGGCGACAGAGACTTGAGGTAGGCTGCATTTTCAACAGTGGTAGACCACACTAGAGTTGCGGTGTTGTTGGGAAGGGGAAGCAGAGCAATGGGACCCCCTAGGGATGGCAGGAAACGCTGGTAGGCGGTTCTGACGCCGATGGGAAATGTAGGCGAAACTGGATCCGATAGAGATAGGGTGGCAACTACGCCATGCCTATCGTAGTCCCAGCCATCCGTCGCGATGCCGGCGAAACGACGAACGGGGCTGTTGATACCGTCGGCACCGACCAAGAGCCTGGCAGCGATGCGCGAAGGCGCCTGGGATTGTCCCGCTAGGCCAGTGGGAGAGAGTGACAGAACCGGCCAAGCCGACAGATTCGGCCCACTAGGGTGATCAATGCCATTCTCGATCGACGAAACCGTTGTGTTTGAGAAGATTGATAGATTCTCTTCGCCTGATGCTTCGATACGCGACAGCAGTCCGCGAACGAGATTCGCATTCTCTGTCATCGTCGCTACAGTGGGGAGATCCTCAAACGGCGATGTTTCCATGGACCAGTCGAATGATATGCGCGATCCTGTCTCCCCGTCCCATACCTGCATCTCCTGGTACTTCTGAGCACGACTTGCGTCGACATAGTCCCACGCACCAATTCTCTGGAGGAACGACACGGATGACGGTGTCAGACTGCTGACTCGGTTGGAGAACTGGTGCGGTTCGAGCTTCCATGAGCGGGCTTTGCTGAGATCCTGGGTCTCAATAAGAGCGACCTTGAGTTTTGAAGTGGCCGGAGAAGCTCCTGTATGAGGTTAGTATGGCCAAATCACTGGATACGAACTCAATTGCGCGAAGCGAATGCGAAGAAGGATGCCATACTGAGAGCGGCCAACAGCCCCAGGCCCACAGGACCACCTCCGACACAGACTACATCATAGACTTCAGGTACAGGGGAGGGCTGAGTCGCGAATCCCCTGCGTGTGACTGCCCCCGATCGACAGGAGGGACAGACGTAGGGCCGAAGTGCCGACCGAGAAAGAGGGCGCATGATGAGCGTAAGTTTGCAGTTAGAAAGTCGATCAGATCATCTCATTTCGGCGATGCGCTGAGCCGGTCGACTGAGATGCAAACGCAACAAACACTTTCACCGATGGAGATAATGGCGTGGGACGATGATGGGCATCACGCATATTCTTCAAGGCCAAAACTCTAGCTGATATCGACTAAATTAGCTCTGTCACACAGCAGCGTTAACAGCAAACAATCGTCCCGCAGCCATATCCTGTCTAATGCTGGATGCTCGATCGGGAATATCCAGAGTACAACCGCCTCCGGAGATCACCTTATTCGACACCGAGGAATCAGCCCCCAATAAATAAGCATCAATATAACCAGACATGATCTCTAACTGTCCTATCATTTCTTCATCGATTCACTGCGCCACGCCCGGTGCACGACGCGATGCTGCAGCAAGACTGTAACTCCGCCACCACGACAAGTCTCCTTTCGGGATAACCGGTACAACTTCCTTTATACGAATCCCAATGCAGCTGCATGATCGTTGCAAGGTCTGATGCCACATAAGCACTGAGACAGCGTCCCATTGCCACTGAGATGCTTGAGACGCATTGTGAATGCACTGTATCACCATTTTCCCGGCGAGTGGGAAGTACGCCGTAGGAGGTGGCTGAGATGAGGCCCATCGCCAGAGGTATATTACGCTGATATCTCGTGAACGACTACTGTAACCGGAAGATGATCTTCGTTAAAGTCCTCAATTGACTAACTCCATTATGTCTGTTGATTCGCTTCTTTGTTACTAGCATCTTTCTTGTTCTGTCAAGTCAGCCTCAAGACCAAGATCACCAGTAGTGTGCACCACACACTACACCTCTGTAGTCAACAAATGGCATCAGCACCAACGTCAACATCGACTTCTACCTCCAAATCCAACCCTAAGGCCATAACCTCAACATCAACAACCCTCCATCTCAGCGCCAACTTCGCAAGCGCGCATTCCAAGTCCCATGCGGGAAACCCCACTGCCGTGGGATACGACCATGAGATCTACCTTCAGTTGACGGCGGGGGAAAAAACGAAAGAGAAGACGCCGAATCAGGTATACCGAGAGGTGTGTAGTTCATCTTTATCCCTACCAGTGGAGGAGCAGTCCGACTGACATTGTTGTAGGAGCGAGCCCGAAGACGCAAGACGAGGGCTTTGGATCCAGCTATTTTAGATCCTCAGGGCGATCCGAGTCCGATTGACTTTGAATGCGCCGAGTTTCAGTCGAAGCGAGACTGGTAGATGGGCGTGTATTTGGCTTCAAGATTTCCAGAGTTCTTCTACTGAGCGTGCAGGAATTGACCTGACTATAAGCGGATGGATGTGTATGTATGGGATTGACTGATAACTACTAAACTATACCGCCGCAAGAGCTGTCAGTGACCAGACCAGAAAGCACGCCCTCCGGTGATTACCAAGTAACAATAATCGCTGCCTTGTAAAGAATGAAGTAAACAGAGTAATGAAAGACCTGTCCAGTACCCTCACAGTTCCCTTTCTTTACGCTGCCACACCCTCTCCACGGCCATGTTCTGGCGTCTCATGATCGTTATCAAGGTCACCTTCCATTTCAGCAACGAATCTCTCCCAGGTATTAAGCACGCCTTGGAAAAAATCGATGTGCTTTTCAGCAAGAGCCCCCAGCGAATCTCGAAACTCGACCGCCTTTATCCGTTCAAAGTCGGCTACTTCGCGGACAACCTCCTCATCGAACATCTCTGATGTGGTCTTGGCCGATTCCACCTCTCGAGTGAGCTCGTCGATGCGCAGCTCGAGCTTCCGGACACGCTCCCGACGCGACTGTTCGTGGTCGACCCCGCGCATATCTTCCATCTTTGAGCGGATGAATGAGGCAGGTGATGAAGTGAGGGGATTAGAGGCGTAATAGGAAGATGGGTTGGCGGCAAGCGAGTCTCGCTCAGCCACCGCTTTGTTGCGATAATCGACCAGCGCTTCAAAATCAAGTTGTTTCTGCTCGCGGGTCTTGAGGAGGGCTTTGACGGAGACAATGTAGGCTTCCATATCCCGCAGAGAGCCCAGGTAGTTCTGATCCGTGTGGTCTTTGAGTAACTTGAAACCCCGTGCGGTCTCCTCCACCGATGCCGCGAAGATCTGTAGCGGGACCTCGACATCCGGCTCGAGGGGCACAAGCTTCCGGAATTGCGTCGCAAGATCGTTGTAGTCTGTCTCGAGGTCGCTCTCCCGACGCGCTACTCGCGCAACGATCTTCTCAACATGGTTGAGATCCTCATCAAGCTTGTCGGCCTTCTCCTTCACCTCGATGAATCGACGGTCTGGCTTGTGAACCTTTGTGAATGCGTTGACAAAAGTGTCGGTGAAGTTGTCAAAAATCCCCGTGCCGCTACCATCCGAGGTACCGGACGAGTTGCGGGTAGAGTGCAGTCGCATGTGCGCATTCCAGTCTGGCGATTCGAGGAAAATAGCGAGCAACGGGGCCCGACGAAGCACAGGATGCAATGTCAAGCGCTTCAGGAACCGATGTAACGACCAAGCGCGACGAGTAGTGAACTCCGACCCGAACCGATCCCCCGTCACGTACTCCATCTTATGCTTCTCCGGCAGCGGCGGGACCGCGCAGGCAGGATATTCCCGGTAGAGCGTCCTGTATAGAAAATAGAAATCGGTAAATCGCCTCCGCACAGCAAACTCCGGCTTCTGAAAGGACTTGAAATCGGTCTGCAGTTTATCATCTTGTCAATACTTCATTCGCATGCATCTCCAGCCAGGCAGCCGGCACACGGGCACAATGCCCACCGATCAGAAAGAACTAAGAAGTAACCCACATGTGTAGTGACGAGATACGAAATATATGCATCCTTAGTTCCATCGTTCTCCTTCAACGGTGAGTCGACTCGACATTCCAGTACCCCATCCCCGATACCCGCCAGGTCCACGGCGTCCGCCAGCGGCCCGGCCTGAGGCGGGTCCTCGTGAACTGAACTCATCCTCCGCTTGCCATTGACATCACGATTGTATCCTTGCGATTCATCGGCATCTGTCCCTGATGTGGTGGGCCGAGAGACGTCGCTCTCCGGATCCTGCCTCCACGAGACGCTATCAAAGTCGTCGTGCTGATCCATCGAGGGGCTACCGTCCGGCGGTGTCTTGGCCTACGGCGTTGTTGCACTGACACGGTTTGATGGATCTGATGAACAAAGACCCGAGAACCTGTAGATATGTAGAGACCGATGGGAAATGAGAAGTATGTGAATATATCCTATCGGGTGCTGGTTGGTGGTAGCTGATGATGGAGAGTTGCGGAGGAGCCATCCATCTGCTTAGTGGAGCAGCCGGGGGGAGCTGGAGGACCACAGCGTCATCGGCCAAGACTGGAGGAAAATCCAGCCATCGATTTTATCCATGATCACCACTCTATGTCTGAAAACTGTCATCAGCAGTCTTATCTACTGCTAGCCACTATTATCTCCAATTATGTTCATGATTGAGTTGTTGTTCTTCAGAAGATGATTATATACAGATCTTTCATTCGGCACTAGGCTGAATCGCATTGGAGATAAATCCAAACGCCTACTAAGTACGGAATCAGAAAAATCAAAAGCGGATTTTCCACAGTAAGCAAAAGAATAGATGCATCAATGGTCGCCGTGTCTCAAACTATGATCATCGCTTGAGGTGTCGCGGAGACGATCCTCACTCAGAGCCCGATCTCTGTAAGGCTCATCATCCTCGTCGCTGAACAAAGGCTCCTCGTCGCTTTCTCCTGCAAAGGCATTGTACAGCTCGCCACCTCGGCGCTGGGTGCGACCTGAACGCCCATTTGCGCCATGGAGCCCGTCCTCGTCCTCGATCATTTCAAAATCATAGTCATCGCGGGGGTTATTGAGAATGCGCTTGCGTCGCTGGACCTGGAAGTAGACCCCGAGACCAATACAGAACACAATGATGGATCCGATGGCGGCATAGATCCAGATCTGTGTTCGCTTGGAAGCACCGAATGTGGGCATGAAGCTGGGCAAGAAGCTGTCCGACGCAGCAGTAGATGTAGGAGAAGCTGTCGCCGTGGCGGCCGGCCTTGTCTCGGCGGGAGGAGCCAGTTCGGTTGCGGTCGTTTGGGTGGGCGATGGTGTCTGAGTTTCGATGGGCTTTGCGTTAACAGGACGATTGATGGTGTCGTCTGTCGAGTCCGGGGCACCGGTCTTGGTAGGACCTGCATCCACACTGGTGGTAGCCACAATAGCATCCTCGATGCTGTGATCGTCGTCATGCTCATCGGGGAAAGGGTGAAGCTTTTGGTTGGCGCCATCGATAGCCTCTCCCCAGAGATTCAGTCGCCAATCAGTGAACTCTCCGGTGTACTCGTTGACATTGGTATCTTTGACAATCACGGTCCATCTTCCTACACCCGACTCGCCCCTGTAGGGAAAAGAAAGTGGTTAGAAATCTGAAATCGCCGACTGCAGGGGAAAAGGCTCCTTACCAATGAGCGACAGTCATGAAAGTCCAGTCGACATACCCCGCTTTTTCATTATCCGACCGTCTTGTGGTGCTCAGATGGCTGACAATGCCTTCTGGACTGCGTAACTCGACGCTAAGGTCACCGCGACGTGTGTGATTGACATTCATGGTCACAGTAACATGCTCCAACCTCGCAATGTTCGCGTTCTTCATCATCTGCTCGGTCACATCGTATGAACTGACTAGACCCTGGTCACCCTGAGGGATTTTGTGCTGCACACGGAGCCAAGGGGAGTTAAACCAGGCTTGCGGCTTCACCAGCTCCCAGGTCTTGGCCTTCTGAACCAGTGCGTATGCATCAACTTTGCCATAGCCCCAGTCATGACTGAACTTCCTTCCAGCCTTGGTGACCTGCCAGCTACCGTCGTCTTCATGAACCGGGACGGCTGTTTCCACCATGAGATATTGCGCATCGCGCCATGTCAGTTCCGGCCGAGCGCTGAGAGCCAGGGCTACTGCCCCCGCGGCCAAAGGCCCTGCCGCCGATGTTCCACCATGCAGAGAGTAACATTTGTCAGTTCCAACGTCGGTCGTGTGAATTGCGTCGCTCGAGCCACTGCTGTAAGCTACCACTAACTGTGCGGAGCAAGATTCGGAGTAACTAGGGTGTTTCCCTTCCCTGTCAATAGCGCCCACAGTGATACTATAAATGCTATTCGTATAGCCGTCGAAGTTGCAATTATCGTCGAAGCTTGCACCGTTCCCAGCCGCAAACACGAATATGGAGCCCTTCCCGCCGCGACCGTTCTGGACGCCATTGACAAAGGCTCGCTTGATCAGAATGCCAGGACCTTCCATGGTCGCACCATCATCGGGAGGACCCCAAGAGCACGAGAAAATATCGTTTTCTTGATAGGCGAAGTTGATGGCCTTCGCCTCGTCAGCGTCGTCGATAGCCTTAGAGAGAATCCGGACCCCAGCAATCCTGCTGTCGTATGCAACGCCAACTCCACAAACGTCGTTTCGCGCCGCTGCAATCTCACCGGCGCATCTTGTACCGTGCTTGTCATCGATAAGGCGCGGCCTAGGTTCTGGGGTTTGGTCGTTGAAATCGTAAGAGCCTTCGGGGAAGTAGTTCGGCTTAAGGTCATTGCTGTACATATCCAATCCGTCATCGACCACGGCCGTAGTGACACCTTTTCCAGTTATGCCTTCCATCCATACACCAGTAACATTAAGATCATGACCCAGCTGTACAGTATTAAACAAGTGCCACTGTCCATTAAAAATTGGATCCGCAATCCCGAGCGTGGATGCGATACGCTTCTGAGCCTGGGCAGCTATTGGGTCCTCTTTGCCGGTCGCGGGCGCTCTCGCAAGCTTCGCCGGCGGTGGTACTCGCTTCACTAAACGCTTCTTGGGCGCCAGCTTCTGTGACCAGAGAATCCCACCCAGTCCATCGTTGCCCTGCTCTTGCGACGTGGCATCGTCTCTCGAACGCCGCCGAATATTCCTCGAAGCACGTGCACGTTCCAGCAGCGCATCTAAGTCTGAGCTGCTCTCCCGAGGTATCGAGAATGTATGATGATTTGCGAGTTCTCCGATTTGACCTTCATGGCGAGCTCCCAGGAGCTGAGCGACATGGGATGGCGAAGCGGAGTCGTCGAGGTGGAGAGCGAAGAACTCGTGGGTATCGTAGGATCGACGATGGATGGTTGCAGTGGTTGCAGAGATGAAGCTCAAGGCGAGAGCTGTACTACCGAGAAATCGCATCTTGAATGGTTAGGACGTCTTATTGAACAAAAGGGAAACGTCCTCTCAGCGAGGTGGAATAAAGGACGACGAATTGGCTGCCATGAACGGGGGAATCACGGAGTACACTCAGAAGATCAGGTATCGCACACAGGACTTTCGGGGTTAATTAACAAGTAATGGCAATAATAATAATAAGGAGGTGAGTTTGATTATGAGTTCTTGCTTCATAAAGGTCCCAGCGTTGCCAATGTCGATGACTGAGAAAAGATAGTTGCGGAGTTCGAGTCCATTTAACAACACAGTGTCGCCTTTCACGTTGATCAGATTGTAAGGGGGTTTCACCGCTAAGGAAGAGGAGTACGACTACACAAAGAAACGGTTATGAGACCGCCAGAGAGATCTCCACGAGGCGCAAATACATGCTTATTGACTTTTATTGATTTTGATTGAAATTGACTTCACAGTCCGAAAGGAAGATACCAGCATACTACTTCTGCAGAACAATTAATGTATCGAAGGGGGGCGATCATCTATCTACAGAGTATAAACCTGTCTCCATAGGCAGCTCATTCGAATGTCAACCAGCTTGAAAGACCACGTTTCGATCTTGGATCCTTGACAAAGGCTGAGTGGCTGACAGCCTTGACACCGCTCTCTCTCTATTGCATCCAGTTCCTGGATATGGGGACGCCACCCTCATGCTTGAATGTTTTGGATGCTTTGATGAATTTGTGGCACCAGAACACTCAACACTCATCCCCCTAATCTGACCTAGTCGCAGCAACCAGCTTTTTATAGCAGAACACTGACTCTCTGTTTTGTGGCCCACTCAGGTTCAATTTCAGATCATTGAGCTGACGTATACTTCGACTGTCTCAAGACCGTTATTCTCAGGACAAATTTGGGCAGCTGTCAGAGCAGCGTGGCATACGTATCCAATCCCATCATATCTTGAGCGCGTTCATAAATAAGGCAGTGCTGCAAACACGAATCATGATCAACATTATTGGAGGCACAGTGAAAGGATGACAAGTCTTCATAGAAGATCGGTGGTGCCTGGCAGGTTGTCCAGGTCGTAGTCCAACAACAGCCCCGCGGCGAAGAGTCGAAAAGAGGGCTGGGCGATTGAATCAAGTTGCCAGCCACCAGGTTAAATCCATCACTGGCTGGCCCTGCACGATCAATCTTGCAAGAGGCATAATATCATTGTGATATACTCCGTATCACATTTTACTCTTCATTCCGTCATCTTCTTTTTCCTTAATACTTTTTCCTTCTGTAAAGCCCCACAACTCATTCTCTGCATTGAGATTCTCTGTTGTTTTCTTTGTATACTCCTCATCTGTATACTTCATCATCACAGCCAGCGCCGAACTGGTCCCGCCCTTCCACAGCCTCGGGGCGCCGACGTAATTTGAATAGGCGTACAGGTCCAGGATAGACTTCATCATTCTCTACTGGTTCGCCAATCTTCTACAGTATTATCGTCAACACATTCGCTCGATCGTGGTTGCAATTCCTAAAGTGAGAGGTCAATTGCAGGCAAGTGACATTGGGCATTGAGGTCTGTTTTTTGGTTCTCCTAACACTTGACAGTCATTTTTGCGCCTAATACGACTCTTCGGATCAAATCTGACGGTCGTCACTCAGGACTAGATACTTAATTATGATGATCTCGAGTACGGATCTTTAAGATACCGTTGCTCCTGGCTACAACCGAGTCCCAGAATGGCTACAACAGCCTATCGAAGACCTATCGACAGAGACTCCGTGTCACCTCAACAGATGGCTTCCAACGAAGCTCAGCATCCTGATGATAATAACAGAAATGCCCATATGGACTATTTGAACGATGAAAAGCACATGTTAAGAAATCCAGAGTCCCCCCATGGCCAGTCGCATCGCAGCAATTCTGCAACAACACAGAGAAAACAGGTTTCCAGTTCATTTTCTGCAAGAGCTCAGAACCGCCCAGAGGTTAACATAATCCCGCCGGAAGGTTATCCCACACCTACCTCTCGTTCCGTTAAAGGATATGGAGCACCTACGAGACGTCCAACCGACCCAGAAGCTGCCGCCTCGGGATCGGCGAGGCAAATGGAAGACGGCAAAGCGACGTCGCCAGTAGACTCTGTCAACCAAACATCGCCGCTGAGTCGATCTAGCACGTTACGGTCTTCAACGGATAAGCGGCATGACTGGGCCCCAGATAGATCCCCTCTCCAGAAGCTCGAAGTTACATTGAGTGGGATTAGCAAAGAGGAAAAAAGGGCACGCGTCTTGGAGGCTGAGATGAAGCTTAAAGAACGATTGGCACGTCAACAGATGGAGGCAGAAAATCGAAATGCCTCTCTCGCACAACCTGCAGACAGCAACTCAAGCGGAGGCCCAATTGTAAGTGGGATATCTCGGCAATTAGTCTCACAGCGGGATGTCAGCCAAGGACAGCCGGAGAATCGGAGCCAAAAAACCAAACAAACCATTGGCCATAATGCTGTTCCCCAGGGGCATGGAGCGATGATTCCCCGTGAGCAGGGAGTGTCAGGACAGGCAAAGTCTAGCGCCCAAAGCCCAGGACCAACAGCCCTATTGGTCGCTCCTGAGATGCAAAACTCGAAGATTAACAATTCGAAGCCCTTTGCGGGGCCAATTTTGAATCACGGTAGCGTTCCCAGGCGATCTGTGTCGGCGACTAACAGACCCGGAGGTCATACCATGAACACCACGAGAGATTCTAACACGCCTCGAGACGGGAGAGATGCTCTTGCGGTACCTGGGCCATCACAGAAAGACCATGCGATGCCAAATGTGGCCCAGATGCCACACCCACAATCGTATGCTGATGCTCGGGTCCAACAGAGTAGACCGCCCCAGATGGCCCCTGGAGGAAATGACCCTTATGCACAAGGCATAGCTTCCCAACAACCAGAATATCACAAGTTAATTACAGATACACCTAATGCTGTACCGAACGACCTTTCCCAAGACGAGTTAGGTTCACACATAAAGCCCAAGAGAAACACTGTTTCATTCAATGTGCCTCCGCCAACGCCTCCTCCGCTTTCAGAGTGGAAGAACGCACCGGTTGCACGACTCGGTGCTTCGAACTTCGACTTTCAAAATCTCGACGTTGATCGAAGCAAAGCCTGGTGGGAAGGTGGTGGCAGTAATCGCAGGAAGAGCAGAGCTCTCCCGAGCACTTATCAAAAGCCTGCTCAGAAGTTGACAGGTAAGTGGTTCGACCCAGCAGTTGAGGACTCCTTCAATTATCCGGTCCTGTATTCCTTTTTTTCCTTTTTCGGTCCACTAACCACGAGATCCACGCAGAGAATAAGAGCTTCCAGCCACCTATCTTCCTGAAATGTGGCCCTCTGCTCCGTTACACAGGACTGAAACGAGTTAGTATCGACGGACCAAATGGCTCTTTCGACAAGGAGACTTGGAGAGGTAGTATTATGATTGTTACCAAAGATTCACGCTCTTCCTATGAGTCGCCGCCCACCCTGAGGTTATTTTCACAGCCCATGGATCTCCTGCCGCCTCCGCCTGTCGAAGTCAGTGGCTCTCAGCTTGCACCAGAGTACGTCGATCCCACAGCAGGTCTCATGAAGCTGGGTAGGGACGGCAGGCCGCTTTATGTCAAGCCGGTGGATCATACCGAGGAAGGAGTGGACTTGTCATTCGTGGAGAATGACGACGGAATCTATGAGATGTCCCCCAGTAACCTGGAATACAGCAGTGACGGCGTCAAGCAGCCGATCCCTGCCAACAGGCTTCATTTGGTGGACGGAGAAACAGTGGGAACATACAAAGAAGTTCCCGGAGTGCGCTTGTACGCCGACTCAGCTCGAGATGTCACTTTCTGGAGGTTCAACATTGAAATAGAATTGGGCCAGACGCAACAACGAATCGCATACCGCTTGAACCACGGACCGGCCCTGGGATTTTGGGTACCGGCCAGAGGGCAGTCCATGAACATTATGTTCCATACCTGCAATGGCTTCAGCCTAGGAGTTGATTCCAACAAATTCTGCGGTCCTGACCCTCTTTGGCGCGACGTATTGAACGAGCATCAGACTCGCCCTTTGCACGTCATGATCGGGGGCGGTGACCAGATCTTTAACGACAAAGTAATGGTGGAATCGCCCCGATTCCAGGAATGGGTCAGGATAAAGAACCTGACTGACAAATATGACATGCCATTTGACCCAGAATTTCGAGCTGAGATAGAGAGCTTCTACCTCGAGAACTACTCGGCTTGGTTCTCACAGGGTCTTTTTTCTCTGGCCAATTCCCAAATCCCAATGGTTAATATCTGGAACGACCACGACATCATTGAAGGTTTCGGGTCGTATCCGGATGAGTTCATGGCTACACCTGTGATTTCAGGACTGGGTAGAATAGCATTCAAGTATTATCTGCTCTTCCAGCATCACAGCGTCACTGAAGAGACAGAGGCAGATGAGCCTAGCTGGCTTCTTGGTGCGCAGCTGGGACCCTTTATCAACCAACGAAGTCGGCATGTGTTCATGTCTATGGGTAAAGACGTAGCTTTTCTGGGGTTGGATTGCAGGACGGAGCGACTGGTAAGAAAAATATGCTTTCCAGGTGGTCAGGAGAAGGTTAGATGCTAATCAATCTTTCAGAGCGACGAGATACTCAGCGAGCAGACATGTGATTTGATCTGGGACCGATGCCACCGTGAGATTGTCCGTGGAGAAACCAAGCATCTGATAGTGCTCTCGAGCGTTCCCGTCGCATATCCAAGAATGGTTTGTACCCCGCAAACATACCGTGACATGGGTTTCGTTTCTGACAGTTTAACGCAGGCAATGCTCAAAAATATTATCAATAGTCGCAAATCGCTGGGAAAAGCCGGGTTATTCGGCGGCTTCGTGAACAAGAACGGCAGCAAGGTAGAAATATTCGACGATCACTGGACGGCTAAACACCACAAAGCCGAACGCACTTATTTGCTTGAGGACCTCCAAGACCTTGCAGCAGAAAAGTCCGTTCGGGTGACTATCTTGAGGTGAGGATTTGGTCCCGGGCAGTGAATGTTGGCAGGAATCTAACATGACGCTTTAGCGGCGATGTCCATTTGGCAGCCATCGGACAATTCTACTCCAATCCCAAACTGAACCTGCCCAAAGACAAGGATTACCGATACATGCCGAATGTCATATCTTCTGCGATTGCAGACATGCCAGAAACAGAAATGGTTTCGGACATGCTGAACAAGCGCAACCACGTTCACCACTTGGACACGAACACAGATGAAGACATGATTCCCATCTTCACCCACGACGTCAACAACAAGCTGCGCAACAACAAGCGCTTGCTTCCACGCCGGAATTGGTGCGCAATCCGAGAGTATCAACCCGGTGAGCCGATGTTCCACTCCTTCCGATATATCAATCTCTCTGACTAAAGATAGGCTCCACACCTCCAGGTTCGCCGGAATCCAAACAGGTCCCTCCACCGGCTGAGGAGCCGCGTCCGGGTAAACTGCAAAGAACTCTGTCCTTGGGGCGGGGTGACAGACCTCAGGGTGGTTTGCTGCGACGACTCTCGCTGCGTGGACCTCCACCGACAAAAGAATTCAATCTTGGAAATGCACCTGATCGCCGTATGAGCATGGACGGACCATTTCCTCCCGCAGAGGCCGAAGACAGCTATTTTCCTGCTCCAGCACCAGAATTTCGCCCGGGCCCCTTCCACCGTCGCCCTACGACGCTGAGCCAAAAGGCAGCCAAGAAAGCTGCAAAAAGGGGCGACGACGGCGTAGGCGCATATGTCAACCTGGAAAAGGGACTAGCTATCACACTCAACCTGGAGCTCAACCCACAAGATCCGTCAGGTATCACGACGCCGTACAAGCTTCTTGTGCCCATGCTGCGTTATGAAGGCACTGAATACGATCCCCCTGCCAACCCAGTTGCCAAAGGTTGGAAGAAATGGCTGGGTGTAAGGCGTAAGAAAGAGCGTGGTTTCGACCAGGGTGTCCCTGGCGATGTGGAGGATACGGATTACGACGATGACGCTGACTATGAAGAAGACTATGCGGGAAGCGATCTCGACGAGCCCGGTGAGAGGCTGCCGGAGAAAATGGGCCGCATGGGCCATACACCAGCATTGGGGCCTGTCAATGACGGGGCGGAGGAGACTATCAAGCGGAAGAAGAAGTGGTTCGGATTGGTATGAACTTACGATGACCTTTGATGATTCTTGATGATTGATGCTTGATGCTTGATGCCTTATGAACTTTAATAACGTCTCACGTGTGCTCTTTCAACCTGTTACCTGTACATAATTGTCCCACGCAAACCCTTGAAGGTCCTCATTTGATGATACTAATGAAGATACTCAATATACTAACAAGGTAATTTGTTGTCAATCGAGACTCCTTGTTATCACCCAGCAACGACGTTATGATCAGATATCGAGATGCTTCGAGAAGTTGAGAACAGCAACCGCTGCAGTACGTACACTGCTGATCTTGTGAGTCTGAATGGAAACGATTATCAGATCCAAGATCCAGCCATGTAAGTTGTAACAGTATTCTTCCAAGAAATGATCAACAGCAGCAGCAGCAGTGAAGATGATGATGATCGAAGGTCTCGGCCAGTTCGCTTTCTAAGCACGGGCACGTGACCGGGTCTCGCCGGGGGTTGATTCCTAAGAATTGACGCTCTGGATGAGCTCATGCAGAATTCCAGTGCATGGAAGCATCGAGAGATTATCGAGAGATCATCGAGAGAGTATCATAGAGAGTATCATAGAGAACCTGAAAGACTTCTATCAGGTAAGTATTCCTCTGTTGACCCGGCGGCTTGCTACTGGTCTCATCTTTCGTCGTCGTGCTTCATCCTCATCATTATCAATCAAATCCGTCGATCCACTTTTTGTCCCATCCCCACCATAACCAACTGCATAACCAAACGCATAATAATCACCATCACTAATACAGACCAGACCAGACCAGACCAGATTTCGATACTTCTGCCCCTCTTCTTTCTTTCGCCATTTATCAATCTCTTTCTTCACCTCCAATCAATTCCTGACCCTGAGTTGGCTTAAGACCTCCCCTTTGGCCCCCCTTTTCCCGATACTCTTTTCCCTTTAGTCCTCACAAAAACCGTCAAACTGTTTTCCTTCGCCTTTCGTCGAATTTCCTCTTCTCTCCGATCCTCTCTTGGACTGACTGCCGCTGCTGCGTCGTCGCTACATCAAAAGTCTTCCCCGCCTACCTCGGTTCTATCGAATTCGCTATCGACGCCGTTGCGCGTCAATTCGACCTCCGCTTCCAGAATGGTGCACACAAAAGTCGTCAGTAAGTATCTACTCCTCGTGCAACCCAAAGACCTCAATTGTCTGCTTTTTTGGTTGAACCCGTTGCTGACGTGGTGTCCTTTAATAGTTGTCGGCTCCGGCCCCGCTGCTCACACTGCTGCTATCTATCTCTCGAGAGCGGAACTCAAGCCTGTTCTCTATGAGGGTATGCTGGCCAATGGCACGGCCGCTGGCGGCCAGCTCACCACTACCACCGACATCGAGAACTTCCCTGGTTTCCCCGATGGCATTGGTGGCGCGGAGCTGATGGAGAACATGCGCAAGCAGTCCATCCGATTCGGCACAGAGGTGATCACCGAGACTATCTCCAGGATCGACCTGTCCTCGAAACCCTTCAAGCTATGGACAGAATGGAACGATGGCCCTGATCAGGAGCCCGCTCGTACTGCAGATGCCGTCATCATTGCTACCGGCGCCAATGCTCGTCGTCTCAACTTGCCCGGTGAAGAGACCTACTGGCAGAATGGAATCAGCGCCTGCGCCGTCTGTGATGGTGCGGTGCCCATTTTCCGCAACAAGCCCCTGTACGTGATCGGTGGAGGTGACTCGGCCGCCGAAGAGGCCATGTTCCTGGCCAAGTACGGTAGCAGCGTCACCGTGCTCGTCCGTCGTGACAAACTTCGCGCCAGCAAGGCGATGGCCAACCGTCTGCTGGCTCACCCCAAGGTGACCGTCCGCTTCAACACCGTTGCCACCGAGGTGCTGGGTGAGAAGAAGCCCAACGGCCTGATGACTCACTTGAAGGTCAAGAACACCGTTACCGGCGAGGAGGAGGTTGTCGACGCCAACGGTCTCTTCTATGCTGTTGGTCACGACCCCGCCACCGCCCTCGTTAAGGGTCAGATCGACCTTGATGAGGATGGATACATCATCACCAAGCCAGGCACCAGCTACACCAGCCGCGAGGGTGTGTTTGCTTGCGGTGACGTCCAGGACAAGCGTTACCGCCAGGCTATTACCAGTGCAGGTTTGTGACCACCGATTTCCAGTTTCTCCTTGATCATAATTCTAACTATCCTCTTCAGGATCCGGCTGCATTGCTGCTCTCGAGGCCGAAAAGTTCATTGCTGAAGCCGAGGGCCCCGAGGAAGAGCCCGTCGCCGTCTCCGTCGAGAAATCAGCTGACAAATCCGCTGTCCAGCCCGCCGCTCAGGAGATCAACGGTGAAGTCAAGAAAGACCCCAAGGGCGCCGTTGCGGAATACAAGTCGAACCCTCTCCTCTAAATGGATCATCGCATCTTAGTCTCCCGGCATCGCATCCTTCTTACCTTCTCCACGCCTCGTCGCCTCAACATATCATCTTGATATCTCCTTTCTATGCCCCTCATGGATGCGTAGGTTTCTCGCATTAGACTTCAGCGTTTGTTGCCAAATTTCCTTATGATTTTCTATTTTCATTTTTTTTTTTTTTGTCCCACTACCTATGGTGACTCACTCCGGGATCGAGATGAGATCGTTCTGGGAATCTACCTCTACAAATAGAATAGACATAGAGTTAATGCCAAGGTTGGAATTCATGACTTAAATTTCGGTACACCGTGGGCATGGGGAAAGCTCTACCCGGTTGTTACCAATATAATCCTGCTTGAGCAATGCTGAATAGTATCAATTCTGTCTGCACGGTCTAGGAGTATACTTTTGTTACATAGCTAAAACGCTGCCTCGGTATTACTAGAAAGAACCAGACCTCATTTAGCACATTTCCAGCGCCAGCCCCTTCATACCCATGTCCCCTTGACATAGAACGATAAATCGTACTCATACTTGAGTCTCGGCTTCCGGCGGTCTCCGCGGAGAATGAAAACGGCCCGCGGGCATCACCTCTTCGAAGGCTGCCATGCCTCGAACGGATTGGCCGCGCGCCACCGCTCCTTGATCTCGTCCGACTTCCTTTCCCACTCCTTCATATTCTGCTTCCATCGGTCCCAGATCTCCGTGTTGGTCTGCCGGTTTACCTCCGTCTGTTCGATGTACGGCCGTTTTTCCTCTTTGCTGGCCTGCCGCCACATGAGGCCCAGCGCCTGTCGGATTTCGTCGCGCGCGCCTTTGGCATTCGGGTCCTTGGTCGTGGCTTGTTTGGCTTCGTCGCATTGAGCGCGGGCTTTACCCCAGTAGTCCTTCTGGTAGAGGAGGAAAGGGTTGAGGCCTGTTCGCGCCGGTCGGGGTTCGGGCGGGCCGAGCTCGGCGTGGACGGCTGCGCACATGGCTTGTTCGTAGGCCTGTCGGAGAGCCGTGTCGCCGGAGAAGGAGTTGTTTGATCGTGCAGGCGCCGATGCGTCGGTGGGATCTGCTGATGTGGAAACGGGGGCGGGGGATGCGTTTGAGAAATGTGGTTCCTTTCTCTTTTGCCCGGTTGCTACTGGTGTGCCCAATTCCATTGTCTTGCCCTTTTCGGGCACCAGCGGGTTCGGTACCTCTATAGGTCCGAGGACGGACTCGATGACCTCTGATGCAGCTCGCAGACCGGAGAGATAGGCGCCGTGAACGGTGGCCGGGTGGGTGCCGCAGGTGGCCTCTCCTGCGAAATGTAGGTTGCCAATCGGCTTCGCCATCAGGTCATAGTCATCCGGCAGCGCCTGCGCAGCTACGTAAGAGTAGCTTCCCCGAGTGAATTTGTCAGCTGCCCACCGCGTGATGATGGTCTCCAACGGATCAGGTACGGCGACGTGCTTGAAGACATTGCGAAGCTGACTCGTCACCTCTGCAATGATCTCCGCGTCAGGCGTGCACTCCGCCTGAAGGGCTGCGTCGCCAGCCATCAGGGCGATCAAAACCGGGAGACCTGTTGTTTTCATGCAGTTCCAGAAGAGATAGAATCGCCCTCGATTGGCAGCATAGTCCTCTTGCACCATGCTATCTCGATTCTTGGGTTCCCGTAGCAGCCCAAACATGTCTCTCTCGGTATCCCAGAAGGGTTGCTCGAATACGAGTATCACTTTGTTCATGACCCCGAAACCGAGCCTTTCTATAGCTCCGCGCTTCCAATTAGGAAGAGGCGGCGAGAATTCTATAGAGCCATACTTCAAGACACCAAGTGACCCCGTGAAGACCACTTTGTCTGCAACGAACGACTCGCCGTCTTCGCAATGAACCACTGTTTTCCGCTTCCCCGAGCCCGTAGAATCATAGGCGATCTTGCTCACGATCTTGTTCGTTCGAACGTCGAGTTTCTTGGGTAACGACCACAGGCCGTAGGGTACCTGTTGATAGCCGCCTATGACTTGTGAATGCTCGCCTTCAAATTCGTTGCCCAGATCTTGGTCCCAGCCAGAGAGGCTGAGATTGCCAATATTGGTAGCGTTCGCGTATTCCAGATTTGCGAAATGCCAGTTGATCAATCGCATATCTTTGGGTGTAAGAGGAAGCATGCGTTGGTACTGTTTGACCCCATCATCCATTACGGCGCCCAGAGTTTGCGACCCTGAAGCTTTGGCCACAGGATCTAGGTTCAGAGATGCTTTGGGAGAGACTCCATCCTTCAGCTTCCATCCCATGGCTTGACAAGCAAGAGCTGCGGGCTGCTCTTCTGTCGGACCAAGATCGGTCGGCAAAGGGGGCACAGTCGCCCTTATGTCCGCTGTTTTGTGGCCCACACCTCGCCGGACCTTTTTAGTGAGGAACAAAAGTCCAACGGTACCTGCGGCGCGAGCCTCTTCGTATTGTCTTACGGTGAGACCGTCGCTCATTGTCAAATCGCGGCCGGAGTCTATCAACCCCCTATCTCCTTCGGCGGTAGGTACAATAACAGCTTTGTGACGGTAGAGTCCGGAGCGGTCAAGAACATCGATATACAGTCGTTCATCCATCGCGTCCTGAACTTCATCGACCGCCGAGCCGTCGATATCATAGATCGTCGATATATCACGTAACAAGTGATAGGGTAGCGCCAACTGCCCCCGAATTATCTGGTCTAATGGATTCCCATGCTCGAAACCGACGATGATTTGCGCACCCATCTCGGCCTTGGGCACAAATCCTGGGGCTAACTTGGACGACTGAAGGCTCCGTAGAGGATGAGAATAAATACGGCCTCCAATTCTTCGCCTTCCCTCCAATACGACAACCCGCGGTGATGTCAATGGATCATGATATTGATTGAAGAGACCTTCCAATTGTCTTGCGCAACCCAGGCCTGCCATTCCAGCCCCAATTACAACAATGACAGGACCGTCCTTGCGTCTTCCTTTTCTAGGGGCAACTAGAGCCGGAGGTATTTCAATGCAACCAAAGTTGATGTACCCATTCCGTACAAGCCATTCGTAGGCAAAAGAAGCCAGTCCCATCCACCGGTAGTCTTTCGCACAGCCCAGAGCTTCATCTTTTGTGACACTGACCATTGGATTTCGCGTCCAGAGGCGAAGGATTCCGTTTCGTATATTCAAATAAGCTGTGACATGGAGATGGCACAGATGATCCTGTAATGCTTCCTGCTCTTTCTTGTGGAGAGCATAGGGGTTGAGTCTGCATGCGTACGCTGCTGTAACACACTGTTGGGCGTAGACGGCAGCTGTGAGCTTAGAAGGTATGGACGATCTTGGCCGATATCTGGCATAGTCTGCACTGCCACTGAGCCCTCTGGGGTCTGTCGTAACAGAAGAAGAGGACGTCACATTGTTGACAGTTGATGGTGGAGTTGAGTTCTTCTGGCTGGGATCATACATCAATGACACGGAGGTGGCTGAGCCGCTAAGTATATCTCTACTCGTATCCTCATTGAAGTCATGTGTCGTAGAATCCGTGCTCTCAGATCCACCAACGCCTCCATCGAGAATTCCGTTGACATCTTGAGGTCTTGTTGATGACTGGATAATTGCGGCAGGACTGGACGTCTCGTCATTCATTTGATTTAATGCATTGTACGAACGAGAGCTGCAAGGCCGCTTCGCCGGAGGCTCCGACTGCTCACCAATTCCAGGCATAGTTTGATTCGATAATGATGCATACTGCAAGTGTGGGTTACCGTTGACGTATGAAGTTGCCTGAGATAAGTAATGGTCGAATTGCGATAAATCGTAGGGCAGGCCATTCAGACCCTGCAGTCCCATAGACGCGGTAGTCTCCATCCTCGCTAACAAGGGGTTTGATGGACATTTGACGGGACCACTTAAAAGTTGATATTAACCAGATAGCCTTCAGCCGATTCAGATGAAAGCCGATTATTGTCAGGTGTCAAAAGCCAGCACCCCTTCCCTTTCCAAGACGAATATGGCGATATTAGATGTCAAGATTTCCATCCATGGTGGGTCCACTCAGAGGGCGCCGTTGAATCAGGAAGGGGTTCTTGGAATAGTGCAAAGTATGATACTTTCTATGAGATTGTCAGATCGAAGTGATAACCACCTGAATGCTTTAAACAAAGGCAAGGATGTTTCGTATCGCAGGAACATATGTAGTCGGTTTCATCTTACCTTGAGGCGAAGAGTAGATAGATCGTACAACACTGCGGGTGGACAGAAAAGTATGATCCTAGGTCATAGAACGCACGCCCTTCGATCTAATTACAAAGATATTGGATGGAGACAGACAAGTTTATCAAGGGATGTGCTTCAATCAGAGAACAATAAAATTCAGAAACTGTGTGCGATGCTCGTGTGTCCTCACTGCAAATGTGGTCTGAACAGGAAGACTTGATGGTGTTGGACGGGAGCTTCGGCCGAACCCAGCGTATTTCTCAGTCTGAAGGAAAGCCGCATTCTGCAGAACGTCTCAGGTCTTCACATCTTCAATCACCTCAGATTTGTCATTTCGCAGTCTTTCTCCAGGTTTGTCTATGAGATGCATGATTGAAACTCACAATTCTCACTTATACAAGCAGAAATTTTCTTTTTTCTTCTTCCTTTCATAGAAAAGCATTGCAAGCCCCAAGCCAGTAACAGCTTACCCTTTAGGTGTCTATGATTCGCTACGATCTTATCACCTCGTATGTGCCCATTACGGCATGACTAGTGCTGAAAGAAGCCCCCCTGCTACGTCTAATCCAAGCGGAATTCGAGGTGCCCTGAGCTCTTCTTGAACCCTCGTGCCTGATGTCCTCCCTTTACACCACATACACTAACTGCGTTGAGAGGACGTGGAGTGACATGGCTTGTGATGGGCAGGTCTATTAACAATGTGTACATGATGAACTAGGTGTATAATTCGTGAAAATATGACTCGTGGACAATGTGACAGGTCTCAGCCGGATCGCACGTGTGTATGGAGACGGAACATCTCACTGTCGGGTCCATCGCCATCCCGGAAAACGTCTGAATCATTGTCTGTGAATCCATCCCTATAGGGCCCCTGGAACTGCTTTTTCGTGCGACTGGACGAATTTTCGCTGCCGCTCTCATCATCGATAACAATATCAACGTTGTCATCGTCAAAGTCGTTGAATCCGATCCTTTCCTCCTCATCGCGAGCGAGTGTAGTGGCAGCAGTGTTGACGTCTGGGTCTTCGGAGAAAGAACCATGGGGACGGTGAGCAGCATGATCGGCTTGTAAAGAACTCCGTATATCTGCTCTCTCTTTGGCTTCCAACTCTTTGGCTCGAGCCAACGTCCTATAACCATACTTCTTAGCTTTTTGAAGAGCCGAAAGCCATGTGTACGCCGGGAGAAACTTACCTCTTGTATATGTACCAACCTGTAAAGATACCAATTCCAATTGTAAGAATAATACTACAGATATTCACAGCTTTGGACGCAGCGCTCATCTCCTCGTTTTTCTCGGAGAGAATCCGAACCCTACTTCCAATGAAAGCCGGAACAAGTAATTTGGGTGAGATGATAGCAGTTGCAAGTCCATACATCAAAGGATGCACCGTCGGAAAGGTTGAGACAGCACCATTGCAGACGGAGTACGGTAGGGGGCATAGGCGAATCATGCACAAGAGTTTAAGGCCATCGTACTTGAGTGTCAACGCGAGAGCAGCGAATCTTTTGTCCCGTTCCATCATGCGGTTGACAAATTTCGATAGGATCGTCCGCGACACGATGAAAGAACATGTTGATCCGAGCACGGTTGCAGTGGCATAGAGGATCCAGCTAAACTATGTGTTAGATCTAGGCTCAAAGTAACCGGTCAAATAAAGCAGAAAAACAAGTCAAACCTACCCTTTCCATATGCCAAAAATGAAACCAGCTATCGTTCCGAATGTGGACCAACCTACCAATGGTGGGAAAGAAACGAAAAAAACGCACAGCCAGAGGACAAAATACGCCAGCCATGACTGTTCCCATTTCTCAGCTACAGGCCCCAGCCAGAAGAACACTTGTCCCGTGAAGATCATGAATCCCAATCCTAGCAGCATGGCAAGCAAAGCTGCTCCAATAGCCCCAATTCTCTGCCAGAATGTTAGTCTCCGCCATGTCTTTTTTGCGCGTCGCAACATCTTCGTGGCTTGATTGAGGACTTGATCACGGAGACCAGTTGATTCCCGGGTAGAGGGACTGGCAGTGTTGCGTCTGCTGGATGTCAGACGGCCCCATAATGGCTGAGTATCTTCTTCCGCGGGCGATAGGGATTCTGCAGGCGACGTCGGAAGAGACAGAGCCCGCGCAGTAGACGTATAATCTGCAGGCATCTTCAAAAGAGAGGGGTTTTGTCCGAATTGTCCTCCGATAATCGTGATGTCGGCAATGACAGGGATCGGCGCTTAGAGGAGGAGCATGGATACAAGCCAGCCAACACTTGAGAATATGCCAATCGCAAGATTGAGATCAACTGCGCATGAAGATACAAGCCTTCTGGGGCTCTGTCAGAGAAGGTATCTCGGAAAGTGTGCAGAAAATAGGTAGATAGGTAACGGAATTCTCGATGAGCTGTGAAGCAGGACGTGCGGAGAGAGGAATCGAGCGGAAGTCAGGAAACCCCCATCAGATGTCGAAATCGAAGGATATTAGGGTGATGTTGTTACCCAACTTGATCAAGCCTTGAAATTAGCCGTCATAGTGAGATGATGTCGAGTCTGACGCCGTGATGTTGTACCTGTGCATTCGAAGTTGGAGGTTTCAGCTGCTGACTGTACACACAGAGCCTAGTACTACCTAGTCGCTAGTTAACTACGCGGTAGGTGAGTGGCTAAGGCATCAATCATCATCGTTTACTTTCGCCTGATTCAGTCGCAACTGAACTTTATCTTTTAGGCGATGTCTATGTCTCTCTGTTTACAAGCCCTATCGGTAGATCTTCAATGTACAGCTGGGATAATTGCCTCGAAAAGAAGAATGAATATCAAGATGTCGTAAGTATTGCATCTCCTCGGCTGATCGACGATCCTTTTGTTATCTCGAGCCAAGGAATTTGGTGCCTTTGGGCCTGAGGTTCCAGATCCTCCCCCACATCCATGAACCTCATTTCGTGGTTAAGAACAACATTAAAGTAGAAAATAGGGTATAGAACCTTTTAGGCTGATCATGTAAAGATTGCAAAATCATCTGAGAATATCATGTTCTTCTTCAACCAAAGAAGAGCTGATCTCTTCGTGCCAGTAGGAGTATGCATGGAGTAGTATCCCTTGTTGGGGGCTGGTAGCCTGAGCGCCTCAATGTTATGGCTGTCAATTCCCTGCCTGAGTCCCCCATCCATCCATCCAGTAGCTCAAGCTCCGTTGACCACGATTCCCGATCTCTCGTCCACCCTCCTTCTTTGTTCTCATCTTCGTTTATATCTTTCCCTTCTGTTGTGTGAGCGTTGCTTTCTCATTTTATATTGTCCAGCCGAATTCTCTTGCCCTCTCGTTCATCGTGTCTGATGGGTTCTTTTCTTTGACAGATGCGATGTGATCTTCATATTCAGTGTTCCGCAATCTGTCCCCCTTTCGCATGCCTAGGCCCCTCCTTCAACTGACACCACCAACAACTGATTGTGATTCGCAACGCCTTTCTATCTTTGGAGAACAATGGATTCTCATCTCTGAAAAAGTGCTCAATCTCAAGTTTCGAATACGCTCCTATCGCCGTCCGAGAATTTGACGACATTTACCCCTCATCGTCATATTATCGTGTCGCCTTGCCTCGCTCCGCTTCCTTCCCTCCCACCTAGTTGTCTATCGCTTCATCGAAGCATCTACTCAGGATGATATCCGACGACCTCCTTGACAGCTGTCTCCAAATCCTTCAGGACAAAGCTCTTGATGAAGAAGAACAGGCAGAGAAAGTTGAGAATTTCCTTCGGGAGAACACCTCATTGTCGGGACCATCGCTGGAGAATGCGGTACTCGACGTTCTTTGGCGACATCGGAATCGCACACTGCCCGACTCTTCCCCTCCCCCTCCTCGTCACACGGTGATCCGCCGGCCCTCGCCAGCCCCATGGCAGATGGCACGCTCCTCTACACCCCTATCTCCTCCCTCCAATCTAGGCACAAGCCCTGGCGGCTCATCTTGGTTCCAAGGCTCACGAGGAGGCTTTTCTCGCGCTCCTCTTTCATCGACCGTATCACCATTCACCTCCCCGCGACCATCCCCAAGATTGGCACTTGCGCAACCTATCCCCCATTCACCGAACCTTAATGCTTACGAATTCTCGGACCAGAGTCAAGTATCGGACTTTTACAGTGACTTTGGCAACGATAGCAATGTGGATTGGCTTGTTGCAGACGATGCGCAGAGCACCACCTCGTCTGTGGGGACAATGAGCGCCTCCGGTGCCCTCAGCGCTACTGCCCCGGAATTTGTTCCCGATATGAGCCCCCACGATATCTTGCGCACTGTGCTTGGAGATAAAAGATCCAATGAAGAGATTGAGGCTGCGCTGGAAGCAAATAGCTACGATCTCGGTGCGACTATTGCATCGCTCTCACAGGATCACGGTGGAGGCAGCTTCAGTCAGTCGGATGATGGTCGTGTCGTCGTCGGCAAATCTATGACCATGGAGCAGCCGAGATTAGCCACGTCCCCAAGCCACAATCGAAGCCCTGTTGTTTGTAAATATTGGCTGTCTACTGGACAATGCCTTCGTGCGGATTGTCGCTTCAGCCACGATCTCACCAACCATGTCTGCAAGTAAGTAAATGAAACGTATTTGGTGGATTGGCTTCACACTGATACGTGCTTCAAAAGGTACTGGATCATGGGCAATTGCCTTGCGGGTGATGGATGTCCTTTCTCCCACGACCCTTCAGCACTGGTCGCGAATCTCAGTGTGGGGGATGGCAACCAACAGGGCGGTCCGACATTTAACGTAGAGAACACCTCAGAAGCATTCCCTCCGCTACAGTCTGCAGGAGGAGCTGGGGAGCAATGGACAAATCACTACTTTGGCAAGTATCCTCATCTGTCAGGTCTTGTGGGAAATAAATCTCCCCAAGCAATGCAGCTCACCCCAGGGAAACGCAATGGCCATGGATCTCGTCCGCATTCCCGCCCAACGAGCCGTCACCAACATCGTGAATTGAACCCTACCGCGCTTTCCGTAGATGATCCAGATGCATTCCCCACGCTTGCGGCAGTGAGCGCAAAGAATGCTAGTAAGAAACACGGCAAACGCAATAACCGAGAAACCGGTTCCGTCAAAGAGAATTTGCCTACATCTTTGGCGGATGTTGTCCGTATGTCTCCGTCCCCTGCTCCTGGCAAAGGCAAACCCACGTCCAAGAACAGCAGGGAAGGGACCAAAAGCCGCGAAAACAGCGCTGCTGCGCAGTCTATCCCAGCTCCGCAAAATATTCCTTGGCTTGAAACTGGCTCCCGAGCCAACCAACAGTATATCAAATACCGTACGGAAGCTATCCGTCACGGTACAGTGAGAAACAAATTTCTCCAGAGGTAAGGGCATTGAGGTAACCATGATAATATGCGCGAACTAATATATCTCTTAGCGCTGCTCAAGCCTGGAACCGGAACGATGCTAGAGCTGCAAAAGCTTTGTCTCTTCGAGGCCAGGCAGAAAACGAAGCGATGCGTAAGTGCCATCGCGAAGCGGCAAGGCAACTGTATGAAGAGCGGAACAAACACCTTCTTACTGCCGGGTTGGATGAGTCTTCCGAAGAACTTTACGTCGATCTTCATGGCCTGCACCCTGAAGAGGCGATTGAATATTTAGAGAAGATCCTTCTGAAACATGCACGTGAGGGACGACGAGTGATCTACGCCATCACGGGCACGGGTCACCACTCGAAGAATGGCAAAGACAAGATCGGAAAGGCTGTCAAGGCTTGGCTCAACGAATGGAAATACCTTTTCCGTGAGTTTAGTGTGCCCGGGGAGAGGGGAGGATATGTCGGTGGAATCCTGGGAATCGATCCCACCAGCTATGACAAGACTCTTGCCAAAAGCCTAGAAGAGGGTGAGAATGTGAAGGGCGATGACAACAATGGCAATCTACCCGTAATGACAATGGGCAAGATTCAATTGTTGAGGCGCGAAGATTTGGAGTCGAAGAGTTCATAATCGCGTGTCTTTGTCCTTGAAGGACATTATGCGCTGGCCTCCGTTATTGCGCTCAGGAAATGACTAAAGACCTCTCAATTCCAACACCTTTACTGAAAGTGTCGGATAACCCATTTCATCTGCAGACCTTATTTGTCCGTTGCACTTCTCATCATCATCGGGAGAGCAAAGCACGCCACCATATTCTCACCGCATGCAGATCACGATTATGAGATAGACTCGTTCCTCTCCTCTTCTATTGTCCCATGCAGAGCGCATAGTGCTTACTAGTTCTTTGCTGTTGCTTGCTCTATGGGCACACCTGATCGCACCTCAATCGCGATGGTTCTTCTTCAATTCCAAAGTATATACGAGTTAGATACATTTATCAAACACTCTTAGCGTTATCCTGTCATCAGCTGTTGGAAACCAGTCATGAATCTTCCTAGTAAAGCGGCTGAGAACCTGCAAGTAACGGCAAGGACAGAGATGCGACAGACGAGGAATTCATTTTCATTCGGGCTCTTGATGCTGCCACTTTTGTTGCAATTCCTCCACACCAAATCCGCAAACCTCCGCCTTCTTCACAATCGCGCGTGCTTTCTCCGCGACAGGGATGTCAATCATCTTTCCATCCAGAGTCCAGGCACCGCGGCCTGCCTGGGCTGCTTTTCCATCCGCAATCGTCACTCGTACAGCCCATTCGACCTCGGCCGGCTCCGGACCAAAAATACGCTGCGCCGTCTCTACCTGGGAAGGATGAATGCACTGCTTCCCGTTGAATCCCAACTGCTTTCCTCCGCGGCATTCTTCCTCCAAAGCGGCCGGTGGAGACCCATCACCCTTGGTAGACTTGTAGGCTGTACAGACCAGATCAATTGCAGACGGCAGGTTCGCAGCGCGAGCCGCAGTCACGATAGCGGATCGGGCAAACAAGAATTCTGTTAGAGATGGAGTGCGGGTAAGACTGAGGTCGAGCGCGAAATCCTCCGCAGCGAAAATCAGGCCTTGGAGAAGTGGTGTCGCTGCGCAGATCTGGGTCAGATTCGTCAGGGATTTGGCCGACTCAACCAGAGCCAGAAGTGAGATAGGGGGATGTGAGGCTGCATCTTGCGAGTGTGGCTGTTGCGAGAGCGTGTGGGAGATGACATCTGTAACGAAGGTGAGATCGGAGGCGGAATTGACTTTGGGGATGACGATGGTGCTGAGGTTGGGGGATTGGAGCTGTTCTTTTCTTAGCTGGATTATTGACTTTGGAGGAGTTGAGACTTCACATACGACTTCGGTCAGATCTGCCAATGCGAGACCGCTATCTACTGAGTTGATGCGAATGGCGCGTTCGCGGATGCCAGAGGGAGCGGGCTGGTCAAGCGCTCTCCGCACCAGCGAGCGGGCTTCCGCTTTCTTGTGCGGAGTCACACTGTCTTCCAGGTCGTAGGCGACGCAGTCCGCCGTCAACGAGCGGGATTTGTCAATGAAACGCTGGGAAGATCCGGGAACTATCAGTCAAGGGTCAGCGAGGAGTGTTACTCAGGATCGCGGTCTTTTCGTATGCGCCAAGAGGGGCGAACGGTCGTATGCGGGGAGAGCTTGTTGTGCAGGTTGATTAACGTACTGTATAGAAGGGCGCGACGGAGGGTGTTCCTCGACGCCATTGCTGTGTGGGATCGTATATGACTTATATCAAGTTGATATGTGAAGTAATTTAGAGGTCTTCAAAGGACTTGTTGCCAGCTGAAGAGCATGCCAGGATGAAAAGGATATTGCTGTGCAGCCTGTGCTATATCCTCGGTCTGAGATAAGATGGGGTCCGGGGACTTGAGCTTAACCGGGCCGTTTAATCAACGTCACTTGCTAAGGAATTTGCTGGCATCAATGTTTTTGCTCTAGCCGTGGTCATCCAATGTATGATTCTATCCATCTAAACATGCAAGCTAGGCTCTGATGGCAAAATGATCTGTACTCCGTAATTCACTGCTCTCTTCTCTCCAAGACAGCTTGTTTTGCTTTTCCGCCGTGGAGCATATTCTGCCATCGTCTACCGCCTTGTGTACGTATGCAGGAGACACGCAGCATCATCTATACGCATCGCGCAATTGCGAATTGCTGATCTCCGTTTCAAACGAAAGAGCTCCATAGCTGTTCCATCTTCCTGTTTAGCCAGAGTTTGAGGACTCTTTGCACGGGCATCATGGACCAACCTCTCCAGCCACAGCAGGGCGAGCTGAACTGGCGTCTCAGCGCCCATCCGATCACTCTTCTGTTCTTCCTGGGCTTCCGCACCAGTGCGCTGTTGATGTATCTATTCGGTGTTTTATTCATCAAGAATTTGTAAGTTTCCCAAGGACTTAGGGAGCTTACCGGTCATCGCGGTCTCATAGCTTCCAATGTATCTTCCGCTAACACAATTCCCAGCGTCCTCGTCTTCATCCTGACTCTCCTTCTCCTCTCCGCGGACTTTTACTATTTGAAGAACATCGCCGGACGTCGATTAGTCGGTCTACGCTGGTGGAACGAAGTCAACACCGCTACAGGCGATTCTCACTGGGTCTTTGAATCCTCCGACCCTGCCACCCGCACCATCTCGGCCACAGATAAGAGGTTCTTCTGGCTCAGTCTGTACGTGACGCCTGCGCTGTGGATTGGACTCGCCGTTTTGGCGATTGTGAGGTTGAGCAGTGTTATTTGGTTGAGTCTAGTGGGTAAGTCGCCCTGTGCAGGTGTCAATCGTTGTAGGATCGGAGTCAGAGGCTAATTCCATGTCAGCCATTGCCTTGGTGCTGACGATCACCAATACGGTTGCGTTCTCCCGTTGCGATCGCTTTAGCCAGGCTTCTACGTACGCTAGCCGGGCGTTTGGGGGCAACATTGTGAATAACCTTGCTGGAGGTCTGCTGGGCAGACTTTTCAAGTAAAATGCAATCGAATCTATGCCATGTATGATTTTGTGCCATTCCTTTCAGAGACAGACATCTGAGGTTCTCTTTACTTTTCTGTCCTTCTTAGGGATGGGACAGCATAGCAGGAGTGTTGTATGACTATTCACAATCTTATACTAAAATATAGGATATACTCAATCAAGCAGGATCAAATGATTCTATGAGATTACTGTGGTTATAATGTGGTATGGCTGAGTATGTGAATAGATTTGTCTTTTACACAGATACTAAGCTGATTTCTTCAGCTATTTCTGGGAATGTTGCTACCTACAGCTGAGGTTAAGTGAATTTTCAGACTGTATCACACCTCCTGAAATAGAGATTACACATGTCTGTCAGTACAAGGCCAGCAGTAATATTTGAGATGTTTATGACTAAGATAATGATACTCAGGTTCTAGCCTAGGAACTTTGATCTTAGAAGGGCACTGGCTTTACATATCTCAGGCCTACGGTAGTTGTTGGATTACACAGATTTGATATACTAGGAGTGTCTCACACACTACTAGTAGGCCTAACTAAAGAGGACCTCACTAGAATATCTCTCCATCTGATCAAGCCTGAGGCAGGACTCTCTGGCATATTCACAGATCCTATCTCAGCATTCCCATTACAGTCCTATAAGCAATCCAAGCAACCCTGAGAAAATCGCATTCTACAATATCCGAGCCAAGCATCCTTGACACTAATGTCTGCCTTGGAAGAAACCATGTCAAATTGCTAGGCAGAAATCAAAAGAGTATCAGACGATTTCACCCCTTATGCAGGTTGACTGTGCCGCGGTTTTGATAGGAGATTTTTCAACACCCTCGTGCCACATAAACAGATTCCCTGGCGTATGCAGCTAGCTCAAACAGGACGATGGGATGCATAAACGGCTTTTTTTTTGCTTATTCTGGTTTCTATAGCTGTTGGTGTTGCCTTGATATAACAATTGGGATGTTGTTTGGTCAAGTAGAGGCAGTCTGTGAATAGGATTTTTGTGTTTGATTTTCACATACTTTGCTCTTGCAGTGGTACATTCAACATAGAAGATTTGATAGCTTTTCTCTCATCAATGCTTATTGTCCTGAGGTGCAATATCAGGACAAGTAGACGGTCCCCTATTGTTGTCTATGATTTCTTATTATCAGCAACTTCAAGTCAATAGTTGAATAGACCTTGTTAAGCATAAAAGAAGCTGGTCTGCCCTTTTCATGTTCTCCTGACTCGATACTCAAGTGTCTGCTGCTATTTCACGCATAGACGGACTTTTTCACAGAATCTCAGCCTGCTCAGATATCAATCCTTTCCTCCAGTTTCAGCCTTGCCAACTCTCCATTATCCCAATTTGGTTTCTCTTGGTTACTAGCACTTTTTTTTCAGAGAAGACACATCAATCCGCTAGCTAATTATCCTGGTCTTTTTGTCCTGTTAGGAGAGTCTGAGAGTCTGAGACCCAGGCAAACGCAGCCAGTGCTGAAAATATCTTTCACTGCCAGGACAAACCCAGTTATAAAAGCTTGGTTAAACGGCCTTTTCTCAGGCTGTGATTTTTTGCCCTTTTTTTTTGTTTCCTCAGGCCCTTTGTCTTTCTCATGCCGAGAAATACGAAGATCTCTAGAGTTCGCTGGACAGAGGCAGAGAAACGCCGGCTTCTCGATATCAGGGCTAATAATCCTGACGCGCATTGGGCGGAAGTGGCTGAGGTAACATGATTATACTTCATATATCTGAAGAATCATGGCTGATTTCTTTTGTAGTCTTTTCCAGGTCGCACTGCGTCTGCTCTCTGCAAGCAGTGGTCTGTAAGTTGAGATGATATAAAGTGATATATACATTGCTAATACTTACAGGACCGGAAAATTAAACGTGAGAGGGACGCTGAGGAAATGGTATGTTATCTCATGTGTAATATCGCGTGTAATAGTCAGAGCTTCATGCTAACATACCTCATGTTGATTAGGCGAACAATCACGACGAAGCGATACCTGATGATGACCAGGCGACCAATCACGACGAAACAACCAACACTACCCAGGTCAGTAGAGAGAACAAACGTTCGCTTGACGTCGAAGAAGACGACGAGACGCGCCCCAGAAAGCAAGCCAAGACTGGGGATGTCGCAGCCAACAATGATCATGACCCGCCGTACTGCCCTAGCGAGTCAGAAGGGGGGGACATTAACTATAAAGGTGACATGGCCCGCTCACCTACTGCTCGTCAGCTTCGCAGTACGCCTCGCAAGCAGCCGAATGATATTACTAGCGAGGGCTCGGCTTCTACAACCTTGAGGAGGCCATCCAAGATTGCAAAGCTCCACTCCACTGCTCAAGGCAGGGCACGCAATTCACTCAGCACAACCCCCGCTAGCCCTGACCCTCGCCCAGTGCAGAAAGTGAAAAAATCTCGCAGACCTGCTAAAACTGCATCCGTCTCGTCTCCTCACCCAACGCTTCCAAGTTCTCGCTCTCCTGAGAAAGCGACAGAAACAAACAGAACTAACGCATCATCTGGAATCGCGTCACCGGTGCAGAGCACTCGTCCAAGCTTATCACCTTCAATCAATCGTCATTCTGCACAAAAGACACATCCCACTACCAACGGACATTCGCCATCGAAGCCTGAACAGCAAATGGCTCCTCGTCCACCTTCTCCTCCTCCTGACGCCACCACTGCTCCTATGGAAGCTGGAAACAACGGATACCTGTCCATGGAGCAGGGTTCACACCTGCTGATGCAGGCAGCTTTTGCCATGAGAGATTATCCGAACGAACATGCCCGTGCCACGCAGCTGGAAGAGAACAATGCGAATCTTCTGAAGGAGTTAGAGGAGCTAAAGGACTTCATTGCAGAAAAAGAAAAGAAGGAAGCCGAATGGAAAAAGGAGATTGGAGAGCTCAAGGTCAGAAACGGAAATCTGGAAGAAGCTATTGCGAAACAAGCCGATCAGGTCAAGAAACTCGAACAGATGAGCAAGAAGAAGAACCAAGGTGCTCTCGATTCGGCAAATGGAGCAACCAATACGGATTGCGAACACTGCCTTGGGCATATCAGCCGCCTCAACGCTCTAGCTGAAGAGAACGGAAGAATGAAGCAGAGTGTCAAGTTTTTGGCTGAAGAATGGGCGGCAGGCAATGATCAAGCTTGACAGTGATGCCAGACCAGGCACACTACTTACAGCTCAACTTGATCATCAACTTTGTCTTTGCAAAGGGTCATGAGAAAGAACATTCGATTGCTGGCACGATGATTCTGGAGCAGGAGCTGATGACTCTTATGTACTTTTACTCATCTCAATCTTGAAGTTGTTCTTATCATTACTCGCGAGAATTTGCCTAGTTATCTCAGGAATTCAGGCTCTAATGTCATGTACATCTATGATTATCTCGCGACTTCTAGAATGAGTCTGCTCTTATAGTAGAATTGTCTAAGTCATGATACTGAACTAATGTGAGAATATAGTACTTGAGAGTACCCTTAAGGCTATCAGTAGCTGATGATATATTAATTGCTATTAAACAAAGACAGTCTGAGAAGGAATGAAGCTATATAGCATGAGGATTCGCAAAATGCTACATGATACAAAGGAGACTATAGAAAATTGGATATTCGAACTATAGAAATCAGACTGCAAGTTCATCAGCGTCTGCACAGAATCCATGTAGCTCTGTTGTTGGCCTGAGGACACAGGCAGGCAACAGCTTGAGGACTGGAGTCAAGTCGTTTCTTGTGAATATTGATCGTCTGTGGAAGATTTTTTTCAGGAGACAAACGAAGCCTGAGGTGGTGGTGTTGTTGTTGTTTGTTTGTTGCTCCTCGAGCTCACCTATCCTTCTTCCTCCCTTTCCACTTTCTCTATCCTTCATCCATCTTCCTTACCTTTCCTTTCTACTTACTTACCTCTTTGCTTAATCCGGTTCCTTCTATTAAATCTGCAAGAAGAGTCGTGTAAAGGTAAGTCTTTTCACTATGCCTTCTGGATCAAATCAAGACTGCCGGGATATTTTCCCATCGTCGCCCGTTGAACAAGTCCTGTGTGTTTCTGGAAATTTCCTTTCAGAGCATTACCTTTTTCCTTTTCTTTCTCAAGAGAGACATCTGATTCAATCTTCTCAAAAGCATATGTTGCGAAGCAAAACTTTGACGACACCGTCTAACCTCCTTCTCATATAGTTTCGAGCGTAAACCAACAGAAAATGTCTGGCTGGAACTCCGGCGAGGCAGATGGCTGGAATTCCGGCGAAGCAAGCGGCTGGAATGAAAATAACGGCGCAGGTACGTACGTCCCCAAATTTCTTTCCAGCAGTGGCAGATGTGTTGGCAGTCCTGCTCTGTTCCGGGGAGTCTCATCCCGGTACCGGCAAGGATATGATATCAAGACACGCCTATACTCATTTTCTTGCTTAGCAGGTTTTGCTGACGAGAACGTCAACCCAAATGGCTCCGCCCCTGCTGGAGATTTCGGCGAGGGCAAATGGGGCGGTGATCAGTCTGGTGATCAGTTCGACCCTACCTCTGGCGCTGGAGAAGGAGGCAATGACAACAAGTGTCGCAAGTATGTGTCTTCCTCCCTTGGCAAGCTCTACGAGGTTTCTGCTGCTGACAAGGTCCAGTTGTGGAGGTGATGGTCACTTTGCGCGTGAATGTCCTGAACCTCGCAAGGCTATGGCTTGCTTTAATTGTGGCGAGGAGGGGTAAGTAATTCTAGGCTACAAGTCAATTGTCAATGCTAATGCTGCATAGTCATTCCAAGGCAGAGTGCACCAAGCCGCGTGTGTTCAAGGGTCCTTGCCGTATCTGCGACAAGGAGGGTCACCCCGCTGCGGAGTGTCCTGATAGACCCCCTGATGTGTGCAAGAACTGCCAGAGCGAAGGTATATGCGTGGCCTTGCGCAGATAGATAACGGTTGCTGACAAAATGATGCTCCAGGCCACAAGACCATGGAGTGCACCGAGAATCGCAAATTCGATCTGAACGATATCCCCGACAAGCTT